CAAGTGCTGAATAAGAAGAACCAACTCATAGTGTAAGCACAAAGATCCCTCTACTTTCAGAGTCCTATACCATTCTACATATGCCTGTGCCCAAGATGTATGTTTTTCTAAATGGGAAGATGCTAGGGAAGAATATTAGCTTCCTTCTCAGGCCAGATCTCAGAACAGAGGCTGCTAAAATCTGGGGCTGCAGCTAGCCCCTGGACAGAACCTCCTGAGCTCAGTAGCATCCCACAGTGATTGATTCTTTTCTTTGAATGTTAAAGACATTCCCCCAAATACCCCAGGAGGATTCATATCTTAATCTAAGATGGGGAAGGGGGAAAGCAAGAATATTATTGCTCAAGTCTCAAAATTTATGGCATTCAAATCTTGGCTATTCCATGTGAATTAGTTCAGGGGAACAGGGTAAGTCTTCACAGTGGCCATCTTACTCTGAATCACGAAACCATGTGTATATGGTAGAGTGGCAGCATGTAGGGTGAGGGTAGGGGCTCTGTGGTCAGACTACACATGTTAAAATACAAGCTCTGCTACTTTTTAGCTCTGTAGCCTTGGGCCAGTTACTTAACCTTTCTGTGCCACAGAGTTTTGGTCTATAATGTAGTATTAATGCCCGGCCAGTGTGGTTCTGTGGTTGAGCATTGACCCATGCACCAAGAGGTCCCCGGGTCGATTCTGGGTAAAGGCACATGCCCAGGTTGTGGGACCGATCCCCAGTGGGGGGCATGTGGGTGGTGGCCAGTCAATATTCTCTCTCATTGATGATTCTATCTCTCTCTCTCTCCCTTCCTCTCTCTCTAACAATCAACAAATAAAAGCATATTAAAATAAAATAAAATCAAGTAGTATTAATGAGAGTACTCACCTCTCACTGCTGTTTGGAAGATTACATTGGATAATCCATCTAAAGCATTTAGCCCATAACTTAGGCCCCTGGTAAGTGCTCCACAAGTGCTAATATTAAACTGTGGCTTTTGCCAAGCTTCAGTCAAGGCTTTACTTTTAGATCCTCCCCCACTGTTTAAATAGAAACTTTGAAAAGAGTCGATATTGAATATGTCCCAACTAGCCTTATCCCACCTACTTCCCAACCTCCTCAGAGCTAAGCTTAGGTTTACATATGATAACAAGATCTTACATTTGTATATCTTGCACTTGATTTTTCTAAACACTTGTACAACTTTTACCCCCTGAATTTGTGAGATTAGCAGGATGGTGATTATTATCTCCATTTTGGAGAAAAGAAACTGAGGCCTTGAAAAGGAAAGTGGCCTGCTCAGAAGTGCCTAGCTTGTTAGAGAGACAAAGGTACTCAAAGTCAGACCTCCTCCTCCTCCAATGGTCATTTCAACCTCCTACATCTATTCTCCTATAATTCCTCCATTACATCAAAAGGGATCAATCAGCCTGCTTCTCTGCCCCACAACTCTTCAAGATGTACAGTTTTCAGACCAGGTGAGAAGGAAAAAAAATACATGATCCATATCTAAAAATATATATGTCTATACTCTGAGGTAGGGCAATTTATTTTATCTGTAATATTTTAGTTGAAGAATGAGATTGATAGTGCCTTAAATCAATAGTGCCTATTGGAAGAAATGAGGGGGGAGAAATCCTGTATTTGACCTGACTAAACTAGTCCAGTGTAGTGAGTGGGATCTTAGCTAAGCCCAAAGTGAGACTCAGAAATGTCTGGAAACTCCCTAACGTATTGCTCATTTGGTAGCAGCCAAAGACTGTACTTGCATTTGAGAAAGTGGTCTTTAAGAAAATCATGATTTTTTTTTTCTAAATCAAATGGTAGATTTATTAAGAGAAGATTTTATACACTGTTGGTCCCTGAAGGGCAGAGACAGAGACCAGGTAATGGGTGAAAGGATGGAGAAACAGGACAAGGTGATATTTGCTTTCCACCTGCGCCCCAAGGACTGGGTGTGTGGAGACAGTACCTGGCATCTATTCACAAGGATTATAGTGTTTTGTTTTTTTTTCTAAGACATTTGTGTATTTACAGTGCTTTGGGGGCAGGGATAAAGATCAGGTGGAAAATCTGTAAATCAGAGCAGAAGGTTGTGTCTAAATAGAGAACCTGATGACTTTTGTTCTCAGAAACAGGAACCAAGTCTGAAAGTCTTGGGCAGCAGGGGAGAGGTTGCTGCAGGAGAAAACTGAAGCCACTCTTCTCACAGGGACCTCACTGAGATATAAGATAAAAGTAATGCTGTCTCGATGTCCAGGTGACAAAATATGGCACAGAATGGGGAGGAAATTACTGCCCCCTCCCCAATTCTACCCCTTAAATCCTCACTCCTCCAATTCCATACCCTTCATGAACCCATCAGTGGCTTTAGCCAAAGCTTCCTAATGGGAGGACAGCACCATTCATTCCACCACCCTTGTGGATTTACAGAATCCACATCCCTCCCCAGCAGGGGCCTTCTGGTTCCCACAGCCAGAGGCATGCACTGGCAGCTGGGGGAAGGGTGGAAGGGCTGCCCTCACTTGGCAGTGTGGTCAGCTGACCTCCACAAGGCAGGGTAAGAAGAAAAGAACAACAGGAGAGGACTATCTCAGAGTAAGGGAAACTGCTGGTGTCTTCTACAAATAATCAGAGGAAACCTTCAAGTTGTTGAGATTTTGTAACACACAGTGGGGACTGGGGTCAGTGACATCTGAGTTTTTACCTCTTATGGAACCTTATTTTTATCCATGGGCCAGTGAGGCCTGGAGAAACTGGAAACACCATTTTATAACAAATGAAATAGTCTCAAGTATTTGTACATATGATGGCTCAGCTCCATGTAGATGTTGAGTGGCTCTAGAAACATTTCTAAATGTAACCTTTTGTGTGGGTAGCAGGGCAAGGAATGAACTCCAGCAGAGTATATATGGGCTTCATTTGCCCCATTTATCTCTAGTGGCGTTTGCTTTAGGGAGTGGAGAGGCAGAAACAAAGGGAAGAACACTAGGGAGACAAACAAAGAAAAGAATGTTATTGTTCTCTGTTACCATGGCTATAAAAAATTAATTTTTATTATTAAAGACATTTATTTCCCATACACCTTTTCCAGACACAAATTGTGATTCTGCATCATCAATATATTTTTCAGCAGAGAGTAAGGTCAACAGTGCTTTCCTGAGCTGAGAGCAACCCTGGCTGAACACAGAGATCCAAAATTCAGTAGGGCCTGCACTGGGCCAGGTGTGAGTCAACAGGGTCCCCAGAGGCACACAGCCTCCCTACCTGGAATTCTGGTTTCCCAACTTATCACACCCTCCTTTTATCAACACAACAGCACTTGTGATTGATCCATCTATTGGCAGACTGCAGAGCCATATTCTTATCTATGTTACAATGGGGCTGCTGATTTATTTGCCAATCTTTGTTGTTGGTTTTTGTCTGTCTGCATTTTTTTTTCTTTTTCTGAGAATTGTTTTCCTCTTCCTGGAATCAGACACAATGTTTAGGGTAATGGAGTAGCAGACATGAGTCCTGAGAGGGGATTTGGTCTCTGTCCCTCTCTTTCCATAGCCAATGCTATAGCCCTAGACTGACACATCTGGTGAGTCAGTCACTTACACTATTACAGTAGGGAGCTCTTCACTGCTCTCTGACCCCTTACACTATCCTGTTTCTAAACTGTGGCCAAATTTGCATTCTAAAAATGTTTCTAATATGTCACCTGTTGTTTTTTAAAAAATCTTTGAGTAACCCAATTACATGGACTATGATTGAATAAATAAATTGGCCCCATTAGTATTACACTCCCCATGATCCTGATTTTTTTGTCTTTGTGACCTTAATCACAATTTTAACCTATCTTGTTTATGTATTGTCTTGTTTATTGTCTGTTTCCTCCCTCCACTGGAATTAAGTTTTGTTCACTGAGTGTTCTTACCTGTCTATCCTCAAAATAGTGGCTGGTACATGTTAGATAATAAATGTTGATTGGATGAAGGATTCAATAAATCAAATTCTGTTAACAACAGTTAATTCTTTTTTTCCATAAATGAAGTTTATTTACCTTTATGATTACAAATGTAATGCATGCTCACTGTAGAGAATCTGGAAAGTACAGAGAAGTAGAAAGACTAAAATAAGAACACCCACAATCCCATCACCTAAAGGCAAACACCACTCACATTATGTTCTAGCTATGCCTGTTTAAAGACCAAGACCCTTATCAAGAGAGCTGACCATGAAGCACAATAGCCAAGGGGAGTGAGGGCAACAGACAACTGAGGGGGTCACCCGGAGGTCAGAGCTGAAGATTTGACACTGAAGGACCAGACAAGAGCCATACACAACAGATCAAGATCAGAAGCTGACAACACAATAGCAAGTTAGGTTAAGGTAAGAATGTACTAAGAGAGTGCTTATCAAGAGTTTAGCCCAGTATCTGTCACAGAGCACACAATCAATAAATGTTAGCCATTACTATGATTATTATGGGTCAAAACAAATGGTTCAGGATGGAGACTATAAATAGGGCAAGTACCCTGAAGACCCATTTTAGATGTTGTAAATTGAGGCATATAAGGGCAAGTCTACTGGGTGAAAAGGATTGTGTAGGAGTGGGCATCACTTTCCTTATAGGCTCCCCTGCCAGGTGAAATGGGTACCAGGGAGTCGTCAAGTTTACCTGATGACATGTGGCAAGACACTCTAAGGTGTTTTTGAGGTAGGACATGGTTTCTCCTGCCTAGATGTCACCCTGGACCAAGAACTAAACTGGCCTTGATGGTGATGGGAGTTCAGAACTTCATACACCAAGCACTCTTGAAGTCCACACTCTGATTGTCGAGGCAAGTCACAGGCATATGGGGTAAAAGAGAAGGTCATGTCACCCAAGTGAAAGATAGGGTGGGATGTGCCTAGAGGGGGAAGCTGAAGGGGGAAGGCCACAAGATTTATGATGTAATTGAATGGAATGGGTTCAGGAACCAGTCCTCAAGTTAGCAGCCAAGTCAGATATCACAGAAGAGTCCAGAGAACATTACTTGTTGGTGGAGGCCTTCTGATGACCTGCACTCTGTCGAAGTTGGTTGTGTAGACCCTCTTGGGGGTCTCCATGCTCTTTCAGGTAGTAACAGCGTTTGGGGACATGCTGGTGCTGGTAGTGAGAAAAAAAAAAACAGCAGAGATAAGAGCCACACTTACTGTGAGAAGGGGTGTTCTGCTTGGATAATTTCAGTAACCTCACAGATCAAGGAACCTGGCTAATGTACTTTACTTGTAAAAAGTGTGATAAGACAAGGGTAGCAAAATTTCCTAGTGACCTGCGTCCATAACACATGTGGCTGTAGGTGAGACCCAGCCCCCCAAAGGACCCCTCCCTTTTGAGTTGGGACTGAGCTCAGCTGGCTTCCCCTAATAAGAACACTTAATACTTTAACCATCCTAGGACTTCAATAACTTGACAGGGCTTTGCTCCTCAAAGTGGTTAACATGCCCAAAATAATTGTAATGGCTAGGCCCACCGATGAAACTCCAGGTTGGGGGTTATAGCCTAGGATCTCAATGCCTCCCCTTTGCCTCTTCCTTATTCTATTCAAAGGAGCAAGATATATTTCTCATCATTTCCTTCTCATTTTTAAGCTCAAAAACCTTGAGTATATATCCCCATTATTACCTCCTCAGTCTGCTGATGAGAGTTCAGTTCATTCTCCATCGCTTCCTCACTATTCCGCTTACAGGATGACTGTTGAACCTGGCTTGAGATGCCCTGGGAGTCCTTCTCTTCAGCCAGCTGGCACTCAGTGTAGAGAGACCTGTCTATCAGCTCCTTTAGGCTGCCAGCCACCTTAAGGAAGATCCGTCCCATTTTGGTGGTAACAGCTTCTGAGAGTCCTTCCAGAAACCTGGTGCGTAGAATGGCATCAGACCAAGACAAATGTTGGGCCAGCAGCAGGAAGTCAGTGGCATACTGCCTGACTGACTTCTGGCCCTGCTTGGGGTGGCAAAGAACAGCACTGAGGATGTCTATCTCAGAGAGGGAATTATATAAGCCCTGTGATCTTTTCAGGAAAGATTTATTTTCATCTGAGAGGGGATTTCCTACCTCCAGCTGCAAGATGGACAACCTTTCTGCTGCCCCCAGATGAAGAGACACCAGAAATGCCATTTTCTCTGAATCATTCAAAAATCCTTTCATTTGCTTCTCCTCATCAATCTCCATCTCCTCCTCCTCAGAACATGAACCCCGGGCTGCTTCCTGCTCTTCTAAGAGGTAACAGAGTGCTGGGGTCAGCATGCCAAAGGATGGAATTTCCTTTGGTGGTGGTTTCACAGTTTCAGGCATTGTAGCAGTCTCATGTGTTGTGGGCTTTGATCCAGGGGCTGTAATGTTATTGTGAGAGTAAGATGCTTCTCCAGAGTCTGTGACTTTGATATCTAGAGTGGACATCATTCCAGAGGCTGTGGCTGCCATTTGTGGTGTGGACATAGCTCCTGGGACTGAGGCCCTCATTTGTGGTGTGGACATCCCTCCAGAGGCTGTGCCTTTCAGAAGTGGCATGGACATCATTCCAGAAGCTGAGGCTCTCATAAGTGGTGTAGACATTGCTTCAGAAGCTGAGGCTCTCATTGGTGGTGCCGGTATCCCTCCGGAAATTGAGTGTGCTTTTTGTGGCAAGGACATAGATCCAGAACTTGTGACTCTTGTTTTCAGTGTGGATATTGCTCCAGATACCATGCTTTCCATTAGTGGCTTAGACATTTCTCCAGAAGCTATGGCTGACATCAATGGCATGGGCATTGTTCCAGGGGCTGTAGCTCTTATGAATGGCTTGGGCTTCCCACCAGAGGCCATCGCTGTTGTTTGTGCAGTGGACATTTTTCCACAGGCTGGAGCTCTCATTAACTCTGTGGACACATCTTCAGAAGCTGAAGGTCTCCATAGTGGTGTGGACATAATTCCAGAGACTGGAGCCCTTAATTGTGGTGCAGACATCACTCCAGAGGTTAGGGTTTGCTTTGCTTGTGTGTACATCTCTCCAGAAGCCATGGGCATCATTTGTGGTGTGGACATTGCTCCAGAGGTTGGGGCTTTCATCAGTGGCTTGGACACCTCTCCAGAGGCTATGGCAGTCATTTGAGGCATGGACATCACTCCAGAGGCTGTGGATCTCATGAGCCTTGTGGACATAGCTCCAGAGACTGGAGCCCTCATATGTGGTATGGGCAATCCTCCAGAGGCTGTGGCTGTTATCTGTGGAATAGACATCTCTCCATAAGCTGAGGGTCTCTGAGGAGTGACTATCTCTCCAGAAGCAGGGTGTCTCACCAGTGGTGGGGACATGTCTCCAGATGATGACGCTCTTAGGAGCAGGGAGGACATCTCTCCAGGGTCTGAGGCTCTTGTTGGTGGTGTGGACATCTCCCTAGAGGGTGGGGTTATCACTTTTGGTGTGGACAGCATTTCAGAGGCTGGGGCTTGCATCTGCAGTGGGAATAGCCCTCCAGAGGTCATAGATCTCAGGAGTGACCTGGACATCTCTCCAGAATCTTGGGTGCTCATTGGCTGTCTGGGCATCTTTCCAAAGGCTGAGGTTTTCATTAGTTCTGTGGGCATTGCTTCAGGACATGGGACTCTCTTTAGAGGTTTGGACATAGTTCTGGAGGCTGCAGTTGTAATTTGTGATATGGATATGTCTCCAGGGGCTTGGGCTCTCATTAGTGGTATAGACATCCCTGCAGAGGTAGTGTTTGTCATTTGCAGCAAGGACATGGCCCCAGAAGCTTTTTCACTCATTGGTATAGTGGATATCTCTCCAGAAGCTGTGGTTGTCATTTTCTGCATGAACATTGTTTCTGATGCTTTGGATGTCATTAGTGGCTTGGACAATTCTCCCAAGGCCATAGCTCTTGTTTGTGGCATGGACATCACACCTGAGGTGGTGTCTCTTTTTGACAGTGTGGACATTGCTCCAGAGGCTGGGGCTCTCATATGTGGTACAGCTGTCATTCCTGGGGCTGTGACTCTCCTTTGTGACATGGACATTACTCCAGAGACAGGGGTTCTCATTTGCAGTGTAGACATTGTCCCAGAGGCTGGGGCTGTCAGTTGTAGCACAGACACTGTTTCAGAGGCTGGGGCAGTTTCTAGCTGTGTAGACATTGCTCCGGAATCTGGAGCTTTCCTTAGCGGCATGGACATCATTCCAGAAGCTTGGGTTCTCATTTGCTGTGTGGATGTTGCCCCATTGTTGGCAGCTTTCATGAAGCCCATAGATGTTGCTTCAGAAGTTCTGGCCACTGTTACCTGTGTGGACATCACTCTAGAGGCTGTGGTTGACATTTGCTCCATGGACATTGTTTCAGAGTTTGTGACCATCACCAGTGGGGTGGACAATGCTCCAGAGTCTGAGACCGTCTTCAGCAATGTAGATGTATTTCCAGAGGCTGGGGCTTTTATTCTTGGTGCGGACATTGCTCCAGGGTCTGAAGTTTTCACTGGCAATGTGGAAATCCCCCCAGAGGCTGTTGCTCTCATCCGTGGAGTAGACATGATTTGAGAGTCTATATTTTGTTTTAACTGAGAGGGCATCACTCCAGAGCTTTGGGCTGGCATCAGCTGGGTGGGCATTACTCCAGATGTTAGGGCTGTCATCAGCAGTGGGGACGTTGATTCAGTGTCTGGGACTGGCTTTGGCAACGTGGACATTTCTCCAGCATCTGGACCTGACAAGAGTGGCGTGGACATTGCTCCAGAACCTGGGGTTGACATTAGCAGTGAAGACACTCCTCCAAGGTCTGGGCCTGACATTAGCTGGGTGGACATTTCCCCAGAGTCCTGGGTGCTTGTTGGGTGGTTTGACGTTGCTCCAGAAGCTAGGGATGACATTAGCAGTGAGGATATAGCTTCAGAATCTGTGCCTGACATCATCAGTGAAGATATCTCTCCAGAGGCCAAGGCAGTCATTAGTACTTTGGACATTGCTTCAGTGTCTTCATCTGTGATTTGCAGTGGTGACATTGCTTCAGAGCCTGGAGCTGACATTGGCTGTGTGGACATCACTCCAAGATTTATATCTGGCATTAGGAGTGGCGATATCTCTCCAGGATCTGGGGCTAGCATCAGTTGTGTGGACATCTCTTCAGAGGATGCAGTGCTCATTATAGATGTAGATATTGCCTCTGAAGATAGAGTTGGCATTGCCAAAGGTGATATCTCTGCTGAATCTGGTGCTTCCATTAGTGTTGTAGACATTGTTCCAAAGTCAGGAATTGTCATCAGCCCCGGGGACATTAGACCATAGTCTGAAGTGGACAGCAGTGGGGACAATGTTCCAGAATCTGAGGTTGGCATTAGCCATGGGGACAGTGCCCCAGAGTCTGAGTTTGGCATTAGCAATGGGGACAGTGCTTCTGAATCTGAAGCTGGCATTAAGAATGGGGAAAGTGCCCCAGAGTCTGAGACTGGCATTAGTGGTGAGGACAATTCTCCAGAGTTTGGTACTCCCATTAGAGGTGTGGACATGGTGTCAGGTTCTGGGGATGTCATCAGCTGTGTGGACATTCCATCAGGGTCTGATGCTGAAGTTGAAACTATAGGCTGTACACATGATGACAGAATTTGGAGCTCTTCTCTGCTCTCTACCATTGGTCCAGAAAAGGTCATCCTTCTGTTTGGGGGGTCATTTTCCTCCCTCAGCATATTGCTGAATTGCAGTGAATGTAAAGGTATTGACATATTTGCCAAGGCCACAGGATAGTGTGGAGGAAGCCCCTAAACTGATGATATCAGGGTCTTGCTAAAGCCCAAGCAGCAAGAAAATCTGTAACAAGAAACAAGTTTAGCAGTCAAAATCCAATACCAAAAATATAGACAACAAATCCCAGACATCACAAGTAGCAGAATTTTCACTAATACATTGGTTAGAACAAGAGAAACAGAGGAAAAAAATAATAAATGGGACTACATCAAACTAGAAAGCTTCTGCATGGCAAAAAGAACCAGCATCAAAATGAAAAGGGAACCCACTCTCTTGGAGAACACAATTTGCCAACAATATATTGGATAAGGAGTTAATATCCAAACTATAAAAAGTATTCACACAGCTCAACAAAAGGAAGACAAACAATCCAATTAAAAAATGGGCAGAGGACATGAATAGACACTTCTCCAAACAGGACACACAAATGGCCAGGAGACATATGAAAAAATGATCAACATCGCTAATCATCAGAGAGATGCAAATTAAAACAGCAATGAGGTATCACCTCACACCTGTCAGAATGGCCACCATCAACAAATCATCAAACAACAAGTGCTGGTGAGGGTGTGGAGAAAAGGGGACTCTAATACACTGCTGGTGGGAATGCAGACTGGTGCAGCCGCTATGGAAAACAATATGGTGTTTCCTTAAAAAATTAAAAATGGAACTGCCATCTGACCCAGTGGTCCCACTCCTAGAAATATATCCTAAGAAGTCTGAAACACCAATCAGAAAGAATCATAGCAGCACTATTTACAATAGCTAAATTCTGGAAACAACCCAAGTGCCCATCCGTAGACAAGTGGATAAAAAAGCTGTGGTACATTTACACAATGAAATACTATGCAGCTGTAAGAATGAAGGATCTCTTACCCTTTGAGACGACATAGAGGGACCTGAAGAGTATTTTGCTAAGTGAAATAAGCCAGTCAGAGAAAGACAGGTACCACATGATCTCACTTATTTATGCAATATAATGAACAAAATAAGCTGACAATAAAAAAAATCCAGAGCCCAGTCAGTGTGGCTCAGTGGATTGAGCATCATCGCATCGATTCCCAGTCAGGGCATATATGCCTGGGTTGCAGGCTCAATCCCCAGGAGGGGGTGTGCAGGTGGCAACCAATTGATGTTTCTCTCTCACTTGGATGTTTCTCTCTCTCTCTCTCCCTTCCTCTTTCTCTAAAATATCAATAAAAACACATTAAAAAAAAAAAAAAAAAAAGATCCAGAGACATGGAAGTTGGGAACAGACTGTCAAACCTCAGAGGGAAGGAAGTGGGAAAAGATAAACCAAAAACTTATATGCATATATGCATAACCAATGGACACGAACAATAGTATGGGGAAGGCAGGGGAAGGGTGGTAGGGGAGAGAAGGGGGTCAATGGGCGAAAAGGGAGGGACAACTAATACTGTAATACTTTCAACAATAAAGATTAAAAATATATAATACCGTTTTTGGATGATTGATTGAACAGTAGAAAAAAAAAAAAACCCAGAAGATTGGGAAACAGAAATGATTCATGATGGAGGCCTTTTATATGTGTTGCCAGCTATATGGCATCAGAGATAGGCCTATTAAGTTAAAGAAAATGTACAACTAGGAGAAAATTTGAAGCTGTAGCAAATATCCCTCCCACCACTATTCTTTTCAAAACAAATCACCCAGTCACACAGCACAGCGTCTCTGTTTACAAATACTAAAAAAACCGCCAGCAACCTCAGCTGCAGGTACCTGAGCAATTCTGGATCAGATGAAGCAGCAGCACCACCTTCTGGGAAACTGTGAGAAGTGCAGGTTCCTGGGCTATGTTCTATAAGCCAGCCAAGGAACTGGTAGGCATAGATAAGAAAGCCCTTTGCTCCAAGAAAATTATTTCCTGGGGCTCATTGAGTATTGCCAGTAATTTAGTCCCCATTTTACTACTCTTATGGCCCTCAATATTTTCCTCAGGAAAAATAAGATATTTATCTGATCAATAACTGGGAGCAGGATTTCATGAACTAAAAAGCCTGCTTATTATCATCATTATTAATAACAAGAACAACAACCATACTACTACCATTTATTGCTCACTTAGTGTGTTTCAGGCACTAAACTTTAGGCAACTGTACATAACAGTAATCAACTTTAAACTATCCATAATGTACAGAGATATATGTTATCCCATTTGAATCTTATAATACCCTGCATGATAGTTAGTATTATTTCCATTTTATCAGTTTTCCAAAATTAGCTAGGATTAGGGCTAAAACCAGATCACTGCAACAGTAAAAATTGTATATCTTTGACTATCACCTCTCTCTTCGGGGTTGCCTACCTTTTAGCATTCCTAAGGCTGCATTCAATTATCTTTTTGATATCCAAGAAATAGCTCACTTGAAGCCCAGTCTATAGCATGAACAAATTTCAAGTTTCTCTGATGACATGAGGGTAGGCAATTACAGAGCTCCATCCCTATGGCCAACCCCTATAAGCAGCCCCAGAAGGGGCTCCTTGGCACATAACTTGAAAACTCACACATTACACAATGTTGACATATACCCACAGCCTACTCATGCCAAAAATGGAACACTTGCTCATTTGGGACAATGTCACAAAAGTCATCAATTATATGGCATTGTGCCAGAAAAAGAAGAAGAGGAGGAGGAGGAGGAACTCTAACAGCAAAAATTTCTTGAGCATTCATTGATTGGAAAGCACTCTACTAGGCATTTTACATGCATCATTTTATTTGGTATCCACAGCAGTACTAAGATATTGGGTAGTACTCCATCTTCATCTGACAAATGAGAGAACTAAGGCTCGGAGAAACTTCATAATTTTCCTGCAGTCATATAAATTCCCAAGTTCGCCCAGCTCCAGAGGCCCTTACTCTTTCCCACTGTGCTATAAAGCTCCACCTGACCTATTCAGTCACATTACCAAAACCCCTCCCTCTGTCTTCAGCTTTAAACAACCCCAAGTTGGAGTGTTGTAAAAGAACTACTGGCTTCCTGCTGGTGCTTTGGTTACTCTACTAATAGGTGCAATGAGAAAGATAAGTTAAAAGAGCAGTCATAGACATCCACCTCCTATCTTCAGAAAAATCTCTGAGCATGCCATTTTCCCACCAGGCTAAACCCAGAAAGTCCTTACTTTGCCAGTTAGGAAAAAAAAGGGACAGCATTTCTTTTGTGCCCCCCTAGCTCTTTGAATCTGGCCAATTTTCTTATACCCCATGCCCCGCCAAGTTTATTAAAGTAGGACCCAATACCGGCAGCTGTTCTTTGCAATCTCCCTTAGGTATCCCCTTCTACACACCTCTCCTGCCTGCCAGCCAGCCCACCCACCCACCCACTCCACTGCTCCTGACTTAATAGTGCTTGCTCTGTCTCTCTGGTCCCACATTCCTGCTTCTATATAGGCTCTAGTGTTTGCCTGTGGCCACCTTCCACTTGACAGCCCTCTAGGAGATCCACTTTAGCACTTAACCTATGCAATTCCACACTATTTTTCCTCATCCCCAATAGTTGCACTAGCCCACTATACCCACCTCTGGTTGTCCCAAACAAAAGAGGAGATTCACACAATTAAAGAGATGAGACTGAAACGGTCCTAGTTTAAGAAATGAGACATACCCTTTGCAGCTGAGCAGATACAGGAGTCCTGGGAGCCAGGCACTGCAACAGATGTAGAAGCACAGGGAAGGGTTAGAGATAACGAACCAAAGATGGAGGCTAAGTGAAACAGTATCAGAGAGTTCAAAGAGTTCAAGTACAAGGAAACCAGAGTTTGGGAGGATAGGCCATAGGGGCTTGACAGAGCCCTGCAATGGTAATAATAAAAAAAAGTAATTTGCCCCAGTGTCAGAGATCCAGAGAGAAATCTTGCAACCAGTGTCCCTGTCACAGAGCTAGGATTTGATGGCGAGGCTCCAGGGCATTCAGACTGCTGGCAAGAAAAGACTCCATGCCAATCTTGAGCATACCAAGTGAGAGCTTGCTCACACACTCAGGGTTACACAGCCTACTTTCTATAACTGGGGCACATGGTCAGAGTAAAACAAGCAGAAAATTTTATCAGAGCCCTCTAACCTTCTGAATCAGTACCTTTAAACCCCCAGACTAGGGCAGAATTGGTCTTTGATCCCTGGATAGGGCAAATCCTTTAGGTGAAATTCAAGTAGCTGATGTATAGGGACTCAAGAGTCTGGGTGTTGAGGGGAAGCATTCAGGTCATTATAAATTTTAAATTTTCCCACTTTCATAAATAAAAAACAATAATACCTGGGCACTCAGTCTAAGCACAATGTTTGCATTATATCCTTTGGGCCTCATGGCAACACCTGCAAGGTAAGCCAACGCAGAAATGGGCTTGGAGAATTTGTGACTGAGGTCACAGAGATAGGAAAAGGCAAAGGTCAGATTTGAGCCTGGGTCTATCTGATTTCAAAATCATTTCTGATCTTTGTAATCAGACAAGTGGTTAGAAACACTTCAAGTTCTCTGCTCACTGCCACTTTCCTCCTCCCACCCCCATCAATGGCTGAATCATTGTAGTAGTAGTAGTAGTAGCAGTAGTAGCAGTAGTAGCAGTAGTAGCAGTAGCAGTAGTAATAGTAGTAATAATGGTAATAATATTAACTGACCTTGATTGAACTCTTCCCATATACCAAGAACTGTGCTGAGGACGTTACAAGCATTCTCTCTTTTGATCCTAACAGCTATTCTGTGATCTAGGTCCTTTTAATTCCCAATTTACAGATAAGAAAACTGCGCCTCAGTAAGGTGAACTGACAGGACCAAAAGCACATAGCTCTGTTTCACTCCAGAGCTAACTTTGGCATACTACTCAAAAATAAAAAAAATTAAATTGTTCTCCCCTCTCTTGTAAAGCAATAAATGGTCACAGAAAAACAAACAAGAACAATTATTATTTTTATACCTAATAATAAAAACTAACATTTAATGTGTCAGACACTGTGCTAAGCATT